AATTACATGTTTGGCCATTTTAATATCATTAGTTGCTTAAATATCAATGAAAAGCATAAAATAAACAAACTTGGTGTGTAAAATTTATTACTCTGGAGTGAAACATGTACAATATGTAAATACCAAGTTGTATAACACCAAATAAAATGAAAAATATAAAAAATATATAAAGTGAAAACGATTGATGTTTATCATTTACCTGTAAAACGTAATATCTGCTTATTTTCTGCCGCTATAACTTTAACACTGATATGCCACATAATAAACCATTGTAATAAACCAATTATAAAATGTCGTTTAATTCAAAAATCAGAAATAAGCACGAACAAAAACTTTGGTGCCACCGACATGATTAGCACCAAAATAATGGTGGCCAATAGATAATCGGCACACAATACTACGTGTGCTTGATATACTTATTACGCGTTCTCTCTTTATTACCTAGCCTAAGACCAGTCGGCAATTTATTGGTCACGTGATCCATCACCAGTCCATCATTTTGTTGAATATTAGAAAACGGTACTGTGTTTTTGTCAAAAGTACTTTCTATGTCTTTAAAAACACCTAAGACGGACGCCTTATTGTCCAGGCACCTCTCTATATGGCCAGAAACTAGGTGAAGAGCTGAATCAGTAGATCTGCTACCTGCGTTTAAAAATGAACGTTCATTTGCTTTAAATACATTGAAGCAAATGAGTCGTTTTATGCAAACGTACGTTTCTATTTCATTGGCAGACGGACCACGGACCCAATGGGGGACGGCTGTTCTTGGAACTACCATATCTTCTGTAACCCATGCGGATGTTGGGAAACGCACTGACTAAAATATCATTCGTGCTTTGAGAGAGAACGGACTTTACCGAAAGCAGTAAAGCATATGCCGCAGGTCTACATAGACGTCCGTTTCCGAACGGACAATCACAAAGAGATTGCATACGGAGGTACTAGACATCGCTGGAATAGTTTCCGACTATTGAATTACGTACAATTTTTATTTGGCATTTCCAAGGACAGACGTTACACACTGCGTTCTTGGTCAGTCTGGCGACGCAGCACGTTCGCATAAAATGGCTGATTTAAATTAATGTATTTACTTCGAAACGTACGTTTTAAATATCGAAAGCAGGTATCTAGCATACGTACGTTTCTGGCGAATGTCCGTTCGTGCATAAAACGACACATTTATTTCAATAGAACTAGAAACATCCGTTTTAGAATGGATGTTTACAAAAAGCGTGCATAAAACCAGACTTATATAGAAAATTTAGGTTTACCGTTAGGTTTACACAAGGTTCGTCACCAATACGGTGATCTCGTCCGGGATTACAGAAAATATTCTGCTTGTTTCAAAGATTGGTTTTTTAGAAAATCTAATATTTTATTAATATTTAGTGATGTTTCTATTTTTATAATTTGTATAGTTTGATTTGTTTTGAAAGACAAGCTACAAAACAGGAAGGACAAATATTTATGTAATGATTTTCACAAAATTTCAAATGAATTACTTTTTATTTGAATTATAAAGAGAAATATTATTGTGTGAATGGTTTATTTTAAACATTTAAGGTTAGGGCACGGCCTCCAAGATGAACTCGGATCTCATTTTGTTTATACCCTGAAATAATTTGGAATGTTAGCATGCCTGGAGCGCCCTGTAGTATGACTGTTTACAAACACAATTTTTACAAAAAAAATTATCAGAGGAAGGGACTGCTCCTAAACTGAAATTAAAGGCTAATTATAAGATTTTAAATTATTATTCTGCAATTATTATTCTACATTATTAAATTAATTGCTGCTTTGTTTGTCCTACGTTTAAAAGTAAATGAGATAATTTCTTACAAGCAATAAACCAAGAGCAATTTTGAAAAGTTGAAATCCCCAGCAAGGGATATTTAAGAGTATTTCTGAGAACATTTTTCTGAACTCTTTTTGAAATGATCTGTAACTCATTTCTGTAGGAAACCCTTTTTTCAATAATGTATGTTCTTTAAGTAAAGCCCATTGACTTTTCTTGCTCTTGGTTGTATTTAATGCTTGTAGGATACCATCTTATCTGTTTTTAAATGTAGGGGTGGACAAAGCTGCAATTATATTAAAAATAGTAAATGATAATTGCAAAATAATACTCTAAAATCTTACTATTAGCCTTTAATTTTAGTTTAGGCTCAGTCTCTTTCTTCTAATTATATTTTTGTGTTAAAATTGTTTGTCAACAGCAATACTATACAGCTCGCTCCAGGCATGCTAAAATTTCAAAATATTTCGGGGTATAAACAAAGTGGGGTCCGAGTTTGACTCAAAAATGTTTAAAATAAAGAAATCACACAATAATATTCATTTTAAATTACATGATTTTTCTTTGCTGTTTTGTATCTTATCTTTCAAAAAATCATACTACCTATTATAAAAATTTCAACCCTAGAACATGCTTCATAAAAAAAATATAAACATGACTAAATAAGAATAAAATATTAGATTTTGTTTAAAAAACTAATGTACGATCCCAAGTAGAATATTTTCTGTCAATTCACTTTTTCATTCCGTGACGTCACTCCGTTGGGATGAGGCCACCGTTTCAGTCTACGAACCATGGGTAACCTCTACCGCCCCCACCACAGGTTCCACGTGAATGACCAAGATCAAAACCGACAACTGACATTTTTTATGCTATTTGCTTCAAACACTAGATGGAGCTACTGGTGAATCGTATTTTTTTCCTCCATTTGTATTATTTCATTTCACACGTACTAAATACATTTAGTACAGTCAGAAGCACTTTGCTCTAGAATAGCCGCAAAATGTCAATGTCCCAGCTGCTTGCTGTCCCCACAGAGCTCAGTACCGTATATCCAGATTTGTTTTAATAAATGTAATTTCGTATATTAGAAATTTATTGTATGAATGTTAAACACTTCATATAATTTATTAGAAGTTATTTACAAAGATGAACACAAATAGTTAGAATTAATGATATCGTAAGAAAGGAAATAATAGTTGCATATCGCATACCTCAAGATACTGTCTTAGGTCCTATATTGTTTACTTTTATTTTAAATAATTCGTCGTTTATATACAGATGGAACTATTGTAAGTTTTTAAGACGACACAGCTATCCAGTAAAATGCAGAGAACTGAAATTGATTAAAATTATTAATGGAAACAGATCTTATAAAAATTGTCGAATGGTTCAATTATAAAAACTTCAAACCTTTGATAAAACTTATGTTGTTCCATTATATGCCCTCTTCCTATAGAAACATAATTAAAGGTAACGTTCAGCAGTTTTATATAAGTATTACAAATTATATCAAATAGCTTGGAGTACAAATTGACTCTCATCTTAACTGGACTATAAATAAAGCGTTGCTTTTTACCAAAATTTAAATTCCTGCGATTAAATTTGAATGTACATTTAAAAATAATCTATTTTGCACTGACAGACTCGTTATTACTTTATAAGATCCTTTCATGCAAAAGTGTTATAACAAATTATGCAAAATTTAAGTCCTGCAAAAAATATTACTAATAATATTATGCAATAAAATGATCAGATCTTCTCTTCGATATTATTAAGTTTTTTATGTACTCAGGCTTGCATAATATAATTACAAACACAAGCGGCATTGTGCTCAAATTTCGTATTCGTGCGATATGGTCATCATATCCACTCTTGTTGAACAAACGTACTATTTTTTAACGCATCTACAAAATATATTTAATTTTCAAACCTTAATAAACACGACATACTGTTTTTGTAAAATTTATACAATTTGTAAAATTTAAATTAATAAATATATTGTAAAAAAAGTTAAAATTTCTTTTATTAATACATTATTGCTTTGTTTTTTCAAATGAAATCCCTCTATAATTTATACCGAAAATATTTTCTTGTATTTATCTCACCCAACTTGCAATTTTAAAGTAAAATTAATTTACATAATGATGATTAATTTAAAAAATGCAAACGTCTCGCAAGAAAATAGCTATTCATTAAATTTAGATAATATGCAAATAAGAATTTATTATTCTCTTTTCCCCACACCCTTATGACAGTACGTCACTGGTAGACCGGAAACACTTCTCGCCATATTCGTCTAGTTCACTGTCAAAATTAGATACCATCGCGATTCCAAGGTCGTGTAGGATTTCTGCTTCCTGACTATATATATTCAAAGGATTTAAATGTCTAACATTGGCGTGGGGTCTCTAGAGAATACGTGCTTTGTGACGGTTCGTAGTACTTTAAAAAGCTTTAATGGGTTCTCCTCTAAAAATTGGCCATTTTTTGGTTATTTAACGTTGAAATGTCCCAATTCAGTTTTTTACCTTTAAATAGCTTTAATTTGGTTATATTACATTTACAGAAATGCAAAAAATACTAATCGATCTGCTTTTTAAAGTTTTTTTTTGTTTCTCATAATATTTTGTAAAGAAAAACATTGTAATAAATGCATTTTTTTAAATGAAAAATAATTTTCAGTGGCGAATAACTATGATAAATAATTATTTATTAAAAAAAACTTTACAAAACATTTTTTTCCTTGGCAATTCTTTACTTACTGTCCAAATTTCACATCAATCGGTTTATTCCGAAAGAATTCGTAGAGTAAATCTCTACAAACATTGGACTATAAATCCCTTGGTTGTATTTAGGAGGTACCAGTGCATATAAAATATTTGGAACTTTATTACAATTCCAAATAAACCAAAGGAGCAGGGGCGGCTCGTAACCAAAATTTTGGGGGTTCACAGTAGCAGAATATAGATCTCGGTACAGATATAGGTAAAAAACTGTCAGTGTTTTAGAAAGGTATATTATAAAGTTTCTAAAACACTGAAAGTTTTTTCATACATCTGTACTGATACCTATATTCTGTCACTGTGAACCACCACACAAGCCGCCACTGCAAGGGACAGAAACTTCAAAATATGTATCAGTTTGAAACTAGAATTAAAAACGTCCACAAAAGTTATATATTTTATTAGTTATTCTATTGGCCAGTATTGAGTGAGAATAATAAACAACTTAGGCTTTTTATTACCAGTTTTCTTTCAACTCCTTAATTAAATAGATAAATTATTGATTTTTTGTATTAGAAAATAAAGATCTTTATTGATTATCTCTGTATTTTTATATTATCGTACAATGTGACACAAAAGCAAGTGCATGGCACACAGATCTCTAATATTTTCCATGATCAACCGAAACAGCTCTGCAGCTAACATTTTTCTGTCAATGCAATGCAATGCATTAGGTTAATTATATTAAACTCACTTTTGTTTTACAAATAATATATTAACATAAAATAATTTAAAAAATATATAAAACATGGAGTTATAATTTTGTATATACAAAGTAATTTGACAAACTTAGGAAGTTAAGATCTTAATGATATAATGTAATTTCACTTATTTCACTTTTTTATTTTTGTTAAATTGGTAGGTATACATACAATGAACAAGCAAGCAAAAAAGTGTATCTTCTTAAAATTGAGCACTGGCAACTCTGCGAAAATTTTTGTACTTATATGTAATTATATGATACGCCAATTATTTTTTTATTAATTCAGTTAGCACTTAAACGTTCTTCTGTATTGTTATGATTCTATGAGTAGTTTAAGTGTAACCAGTAACTTTAATAGATTAAGAATTATAAAATGAAATATATTTCGTTTATTTCAGTAAAATATCAATTAACATTTTTAAATGAAACTCCATAACTTTGTCGAAATACATTTGGAACACACTGTACATGGATTTACTTATTAAAATTAAACCAATTTTTTCCCATTTCTCCAACTCTCTTCAGGATCTTTGGATATTTTCAAGATGTAACACACTTCAATCTTCTTCAACTTGGTGCTTTGCGAATGTCAAGAATACCTAAAACAAATATTAGTATTATATACCATATAGATAGAGCTACTGTACGTTGATGATATCAAAATAAGTCGACTGAGCCAAAATTACCTATATCACAAAGTGCTTGATTTGCCTGTGAGGAAGCTTTAAAGTTTGAAAGAAAATTTTCATTTTTTTTAATAGGTACCTCAAAAACTCTTTGTTTGATTTATATAAAATTTAGTATGTAGCTATTTTAAAGAACCTTTGTTCAAAGCTAAAATTACAACAACTAAAATCAAGGAAGGGTAAAAACCACCCTAATCCTACCATAAATGACATTGTATTTTTTTTATATAATTTTTTATGGGGAGCTGTATTCATTTATAGCTTTTTTGTCTCTTACCAATAGGCATAGGTATCGACTAAAATAGTAGTTTGTTCGACAAGAGTCGATATGATGGCCATATCACACGAAGACGAAGTTTGAGCACGACGCCGCAGGCGTAGTGCTGAATCGTCTAAATGCTATATGGACAATCCACTTGAGTTGTACAGTATATTTTTCCAATTTTTTCTAATAAAAAGTGCTGTTCCTTAAGTGGCGCTGGGAAACAGTAACAAAACCTACACGAAACATGAGGCTAATATAATTATAGCAGTTAATGCTGATGACAGAATAAAAAATAAAAAACACAATTTCCAAACACTATGAATAATCTCCCATGAGAAACTATTTTAACAAAGATTAAGGTTATCTAGGTTACCTTATTTGGGAGAAATCAGCTGATCAACAGCGCGCGGGAAATGAATCACCTATAGTTTTCACTTTAGGATGAATCAGATTAAATGTTTTGGGAGTCTTATATGTATCCGTATCTTTCTTATATTTATCAGTAGAGAATAAAATACGATGATTTAAAAATTGTAACTTAGGGTACGTTGAAAATTAGTGGGATGCTTTCATTGTCTTTCATTGCGACCCAGATTGATCTATTTTGGCTGATGTCTAACTTATAGTTCACCATACAAGCCACACCTTTTAATAAAAGCTATGGTTAATTTGGATGAGACTTGTTTATTAAAGTCGGTAGGCTCCAGTCAGGTGAAACCAAATATCTGTTCTTTACAAAGCGGAACAGGTTCATAAAATGTACTCTGCAAATTCGTTTTCCATGCTACAGAATCAAGAGTCCGACGTTTTTTGCAAACCTATCCTTCCTATGTAGTTACCCAGACGACAATGTTCTGTCATCAGTTCCGTAAAAATTAGTATATCTTTCCTACTCTATTCCCGCATCTGAGCAGAGGCGTTCATGGAAGGGTTGGTAATAAACGCCTTTGGATAAGTTACCCCTGGGGTATTTCTCCAGCTCGTGAGTGTTACAGCCTCCATCCGTTTTGAGATAATTCGTTTAACAGTGCAATGCCCAGGAATGGTTTTGGTCCTATGAACTTAAATTCCAAACCGCTGTGTCCCGGAACCCAGATCAAAGTAACTTTGTTCCGGGCACCGATACATTCAAGGGTATTTATACAGTTCCAAACCAGCTTTGAGTCAACTGGATTGGAGCTCAGGGCATTGAGTTTTGTATGCGGGGAAAAATTAATCAATTATCTGACTCCCAATTCTATAGAAACCATTTCTGCTTAGAAGATCGTGGCCAGAGAGCCTAGGTTTATTGATATGTTAACTCTTGACTTCTGTTCAAAAACTCCTGCTTCTACTCCTTTTTCAGTATTGGAACCGTCCGTGTACAGCACAGTCCGCCTAGGAGAGGGTTTCATCCCTCCTGTTCCATACGTCTCTCTCTGGAATGAGGACGCTGTATAGCTTTTCTATGTATTGTCGCGAACTAGTGAGTCTAAGAGCTCTTTCACACGGGGATACTGTATGCCAGATACGCGTATCCGAGATACAGAATCGCAGTCGAAAAGTTGGGCTGCTGTATCGAATTCACGCATCTCTTCCATCAGTACTAAAATAGTAGCATTGCCGTGCATATATTTTTGAATTATGAATCTAGAAGAGTGTATTATACTGAAGTATATAATACAGTGACACACATAAAATGAGCATTGTATGGGATTTTTTTCTAAATGCTGTAGATGAATTTTGACTTTGCCATCTTCTGTTGCTTTAAAAATGATAATGAATCATGGTGGAAGAATACAGGTGAAGCGGTAAGCGGTACGAAATTTGGTCATTCTTGCGCATGACGTCACCTTCGGAGCATATTTTTATTTTGCCTATGTCTCCAATGTTAAAAAGCGACTTTTAAAGTTATTCTAATATTTTCCTGGTAGTGTTTAGAAGTTTATAGATATATTTATCTTAATATTTAATATCATTTCTATATATCAATAGGCCTGTTTAGAAATTATTGGTACGTATTATTAAATTAATTTCTAATTAAGTTGGTAGTGTAATTGATATAAAGTTAGGTTATGTAACATTTTTGTTGTTTTTTAAAGATAAAAAAAATAGTTTCTATTCATTATTGTTATTTTAATATATCATTATTATTATTATATTATTGGTACATTAAAATCTACTATATTTTAGGGTGTGTAGTTACTAACAAAATGTTAGGTTGTGCAGTGTTTGGCAGCAAGAACTATTCAAGAAAAACAAAGGGAACAAATATTAAGTATTCTGGATTTCCGAAAACAGATATAGCCAAAGCCTGGGTCAACGGTTGCGGGTGAAAAGATACAATTAATTTGAAAAATGGTATGATTTTTGCAAACCTAATTAGAATATGATTCATTTTATGTCTTGTTTCTTTTTTAAGCTTGTATTTGTTCCATACATTTTTCGAAGGATAGTTTTGAAATACCCTTACAACAGAGGCTATTAAACTACTCCACTAAGACTGGCAGAAACTTAAAACAAACGGCAGTTCCTACTGAAAATCTCCCATTGAAAAAAAGACAATTGTCTGCAGAAAGTGACGATAGATTAAGAAGGCAGGCAAAACGATATCGACAAACATTTATTGAGAGCTTTGTTAATATTTCGGGGCATTCCAGTCAATTGTCAACTGCAGACCAGGACAAGGAGAATCAAAGTTTGGAAACAGACACTCAAAATATATTGGTATCATCAGAACTAGAAACGTATGTACAAATTTACCTTATTAACAAAAAATGTGGCTTTGAAAAGACAATTACACAACTTAGCATGTACTAATTAACATTACAATCATTTCAAAACAATGTTTTTATTAAATATTAAACTTTGAAGTGATAATTGCTTTTATTTCAATATTAACTGTATGTTATTGTTTCAGATGTGACCACCGAAATGAAATTATTATTTTAGAGAAAACTATTAAGAGTCTTCGTGAAGAACTAAACAAAATTACTGAAAAATGCAACAAATCAAATATAGAAATACTTTCATTGAAAGAAGAAATTAGCCAGTTGAAAAATAATTCTCAAGTGGAAATTCAGGAAAGTAAAGTAAATGTTTCATTCCGGGTCAAATAAATGTTTTATACAATGAAAATAAAAAAAAAATTCGTTGAAGTTCGGATGACATAGCATCCACAATCTCCCTAAGAAGCATTCGTCCTAAGGCTTATAGATTTTAAGAACTGTTCATTATCCTTTACCTGGGTTTACTACCTTAAGAGACTGGGCTAAATGTTTAAATTTAGAACAAGAAATATACATTATAAAGTGTTAATCAAAATAAAGAAGTAAACATTATGTATAAACCATTTTTAAACATAAATAAAACACCTCTGTGCTTTTTATTAAAATAAAGTATGTTTTGCCAAGTGTTTCTATTTATTAAATACATAAAGGGGTTTACCAGCACCCAACCATACAAGAAAGTAATTGATCTGTGCATACAAGTTATTGATGGCCATGTTTGATGACTAATTTAAAATTAAATTATTACATTTATAATCTATAAAAGTGACTACATACTTTCAAACTGATTATTTAAGAAAATTGGCGACTAAAAAAATATACTGATCATAATTCATTTCACCTTAATTTTATTGTTCAGCATTCGTTAACATTATACACAAGTTTATTTGAATCGACTCAAAATTATTTATTGTTGAAGAATTAATTACATTCTTAACAAATATAGATAATATAAGGAAAAGAAACAAACAAAATATTCATAAATGAAATTTTTTATTTTAAAATTTTTTAAATTCTAATATCAAGACAAAATATAATATAAAAACAAAAATGCACAACCTAAGTACAAATATGACAATCGAGAAATATATATACAGGAGTATACCCATAAATTAAAATGAACTACTTAATTCAAGGAATCATAGAAAAATTTATCCACTTTGTAGTATACCTTTTTGAGCAAAAGTTTCTTGCTTTTTAAACATATTTAATGAGTCAGCACTTCCTATTATTAATTAATTGGCAAGAGGTTAAACATTTTTCCACTATATACAATACAAGGGACACTACATATTTCAGTTTCACATTTAAATTTGTTATTTGTATATGCCTTTTATTAGTTTCAGTTTTTATCGATACTGAGCCACTAAAACTTTTTAATGGTAATGTCTCTGTAAGTTTAGGTACGTTTTGGCTATCATCTTGATCTCAATCTATCAGATAGCAATGCTAGGTATGAAGATTTAAATCCTAGATGTAACATCCTCTTCCAAGTTTTGTGATGCAAAAATTCAGTTTCAGATGAACACTATCTTTTTTACGCCAAAGAGAAACTATATTAGGCTAAATTCCTTACACCATGGCTAAATTCGAAATAAATTACCTACTTTTTTTGTATAAAAGCACAAAATTTTTTTTTTATTTGGCATTACTTTTGCACAAGCGTCTATCTGCCTATAGTGACTTTTCTTGTATTATTGAGCATAACTTGATGTTATTTGACGCAGTTGTTATTTTCTTCTAAATATATTTTTAGTTTTATAATGATTATAGAACTAGGAAATAAAAATTAAACTTCTTGACAATCATTACAAAATGTAAACAAAGCCATGGAATGGCATGGCAGTGTATAGGCGGCCGTGGCAATACCGATGTTGACGTCATAAAACCTGCGCACCTCTTCACCTGTATCCTTACACCATGATAATGAATGACATGCAAATTGACAATCACGTGACCTTTTTAAATGTCCAAAATAACATTTTTTTTCTAAAAATTGCAAAAAATGGTATTATTTTCATAAATTGCCTAATAAAAAGTTGCTTATTATGAAAATGTTTACCCATATAGCCCGTTAATAGTTAACTTGACATTAAACTAGATGCACTTAGGATACCCTTGAAAAATATGTCTGAAAAGGTCCATATATCGTAATAGTAATTCGGTATGCGGCATACGCATTCAGCCTCCGCGGCTGGAGGTGCCGGGATGCAAAAATTCCGTATCGCGATACTGTATGCGTCGCCCGTACCGTGTGAAAAGGTCCATTTGAATGTATAATCAGCTTGAATCTCGGATACGCGTATCTTGCATACAGTATCTTCGTGTGAAAGAGCTCTAAGCCCATGCCGAGTATGTGTTGGTTACTAATCTCACTCATCAGTACCGTTTTTTCCCATTGCAGTTGTTCACTGAATTAACTACCAAACTTCAGAAGTCTATAGGAGACCATCCTGGCCTTCATTTCCAGTAAAATGTGGAAAGAGGTTAGGTCCAGCATGATCTCCATTGCTCCCGTCGGTGTGGTTGACATTGCCCCAGTGATGGCGAGCCACGCAAGCCGCTGTATTCTAGCCAGCTTTGCTCTAGCCGCCCGTTGAAGTCTCACCAGACGACGGAGCCGTGCGTAACCATGGGTTTTACCACTGTTTCATAAATCCAGTAGATCAGTTGAGAACTGATGGCCCAAAATTTGGGCATATCGTTCTAAGAGTTCAGAAGAAAAATCTGCCCTTTGTTGACAATTGGGAGTTCTAGGTGAGTTTCTTATCTAGTGTAATCCCCAGATATTTTAGCTCCTCCGCAACTTACTATTTTTTATAAAAACAAACTCTGAAAACTTTGTACATATTTACATTTATAAATATTGTTACGCAGCACCCTGCAGTAGCCTGCGGCTATTATAGGAAACGTACAGATATAGGAAAAGAAGTGGAATATTACTGATCGCCCTACAGTGTCTGCTGTCGTCATAAGTAAAAGTACAAGTAAAAGAAGATATAATATCAGAAATATCAGGAAATGTCATTACCCGTCATAAATATTCTAGACGACAGTTCAAGAAGGTTCGAGAAATGTCAAACAAGCTACATAAGGATGATCCTGATGTCAGTTTTCAGTTTTTATGATAGACGTTACATGTTAATGTTATCAGTTGCATAACTGTTATTAAAGTTGAGTTGAAATAAATTGCGATACCTAAAACCTGTGTAACATTGGTGACAGCGGTGGGATATAAAGTAAAAGTTTATGGTAAATTAGATTAGATTATATTATATTAGGAGTTGGACGTTATTTGTCCTTGTCCACCGCGACCTTTTCAGATCTATTGTGGGACTCTGTTTGTTTTAGAGTATGTCGTCTAGCCTGGTCTTTTTTATTAGACTTAGTAGCTCTGACAGTGGCTCCCGCATGTAGTTGCATGCAATTGGCTTTTTTCTTCACCCAATGTTAGAAATCTCATTCCAGCCAGGCCTTCACATTGGCACAGGATGTGGAATTTTTCCTCTTCGTCTTCACAGAACCTGCACAAAGTTGCTTCTTCTGCTGGATTTATGACACTCATGTGCCTTTTGAGGCGACAGTGTCCAGTAAGAAGGCCTACTCTTTTCCTAACGATTTGACGCTTTTGATCCAGTAGGTCTTGCGTAAACTTGGCCGATGGTTCCTTGATGAACTGTTGGCCTGTCTCAGTCTTGGTTAGTTGTCCCACCATTCCTGAGACTCTTTTTGCATCTATTTAATGGATGCATTGCACACTGCCTTAGCAACTCCACAGAAGGGTTCGTTGCTTGTCATGGCCTTATCTGAGCCTTCTCGGGCTAATTCGTCGGCCTTTTCGTTGCTCTGATATTCCTCATGGTCTGGAACCCAGGCTAAGGTCACCTTATTTTGACTACTTATCTCTGTCAGATCTTCTATAGTCTTTCACCAGTCGCGATTTGATTTCTGGTGAGAGAATTGCCTTTAGAGCTGCTTGACTATCAGAGTATATGGCAATAGTTTTTCCTGATACTTGCTGATTTAATACTTCTCTTGCACAGTGTTGTATGGCTAATACTAGATCTACTGAATACGAAGCAGGCATGGATACTTCAGGTCCACCAGCATGGTTTTGGCAGATGGAAGAGGAAAGAATAAGGCGAGAAGAGGAAAAGGAAAGGTGTAGGAAGAAAGAAAAGGAGAAAAAGGAAAGGCGGGAGGAAGAAAAGGAAAGGCGTAGGAAGAAGAGGAGAAAAAGGAAAGGCGTAGGAAGGAAGAAGAGGAGGAAAAGGAAAGGCGAGAAGAGGAAAAGAAAAGACGTAGGAAGGAAGAAGAGGAGGAAAAGGAAAGGTACAGGAAGAAGAAAAAGGAAAAGTGTAGGAAAGAAGAGGAGAAGAAAAAAGAAAGGCGTAGAAAAGCTGAGGTAGAAATTATGAACGGTTTGCTGCAAATTCAAGAAAATCTTAAGCAAGAGGTAGGTCAGCTAAACAGCCGAGTAGACCTCTTAACACATTAACAAGATAATTTAAAAGTCAATTTAGAATAGCAGCAAGAGAATCTAAAAACCAATTTACAGAACCTAAAAACGAATTTAAAACATTAACAAGAGAATCTAAAAACCAATTTAGAGCAACAACAAGAAAATTTAAAGACTAATTTAAAATATCAACAAGAAAATTTAAAGACTAATTTAGAACATCAACAAGAACAGGCTAGAATAGAGTTGGAAAGGCAAATTAGAGCTGAAATAGCCAAGTTAGAGAGAAGAATTGGTAGCGAAGCTTTTATAAGCAACATTCAAGCTGAAAACACGGCCTCATCTTTATTTGTAACCGACCCAAGCCGTATTCAAACAACAGTCTCACAAAATTATAGTAGCAAGACCCTGAAACCACCTGCGTTTGACGGTCAGACAACATGGGAAACATATCGACTCCAATTTCAAGCTGCAGCTAGAGCCAATGGCTGGGCCGAGAAAGAGATGGCGGCTTCATTGATAGTGTCACTGCGAGGTCAGTGGCAATTAACTTGTAGTAAGGCTATTTTTCAATGCGTTTTTAATCATGCATTTAATTTTACAAGCACAAATGTCCCACCCGAAAAATATTAAATTCACGAATTATCTTATATTGACATATTTTGGTTTATTCACATACAAAATGAAATATTTTTGTATAAAATCTCATTTCTGTTATACAAATTAAACAAACATAAACTTAGACGTTCTAATTACCTGTTCAAGACTGCTTTGTCCCAAAGAATAATCCTCAATATTTAAATCACTTCTCCTCTTTCCACGTTCTAAAATACCAAACATAGTTGACCAAGGTTTCGATTTGTCAACGATATAGTAATTTAACAACTCTTGATGTCTTTCCCTCAAATGAGCTCCTGGGAAATTTTCTCGGATAAAGTTTTCAATCTGTTCAGTGTCCGAATGATGTTCTCCTGCACTTTCTGGCAATTTTTTGACTTTTATAGTCAACGTGTAGCCTTCTGCAAACTTGTTTTTGAGGTGCTGGGTGGAGCCCAGACATTTGAAGTTACCGTTGACCATAATAGCGATTCTGGTACAAAGGGCTTCACATTCTTCCATGCTGTGAGAAGTTAGGACTATGGTTTTACCGCTGTCTCGTACCTTACACAATGAGTCCCATAGGTAACGCTTAGTGGCTGGGTCCATTCCTGCAACGAAAAGTAGACATAAATTATTATTAGACATATAAAATCGTTATTTATGTAATAAATTGCAAAATGAGGCTTAGCTAGTATGAATACATTAGTAGAATTTATTTTTTTTAGAATCGTTCTGACATGAGTTGCGAAAGTTCTTGAAACAAATAATAAATTTTCACACACCAGCCAAATTAAAAAGATGAAAAAAGCACAAAATAAAAGTATAATATAGGCCCTTTCTCTCTTTTCCTTCAAATAATCTTATGAGCAAAGCAAGTTTGGGTTGAATTTTTCTATATTTTGTGTAACGAGTAAATATTTGGGGGACTAGTTACATAAAGTGAATCATTTTGGCGCATGATGCAATCACAAAATATGTAACACTATATATCAAAATTAGAAAATAGTTATTTACCTGTAGTCGGCTCATCTAAAAATATAACAGGTGGGTCCCCGATCAAAGACAGGACAGTACTCAATTTTCTCTTGTTCCCTCCGCTCAATTCTTTTACTTTCTTGTTCAGATGTCTGTGGAAATCGAACTCCTTCGATAAGTGATCGGCAATTCTATAAGTTCGCTTTAGTTCTATGCCTCTCAGCAAACAGTACATGATGATAGATTCTTTGGCCGTCATATCGTCTAGAAGGGCATCGAATTGTGGACAGTATCCAATGTTGCGTTGCACTTGCTTGAGTTGCGTCTTTATACTTTTTCCGCTTACCTGAATTTTAGAATATTAATTTTAAATTAGAATAAACTATTTGAGCAGTGATTCTCAAAATTTCGTATTTCTCGCCTCCATTTTTATCTTGAATATACTGCATATCCTATATAATAAATCTTTTCCTTTGCATCGAATGTGTAGCACTGAGCTACACCACTTCTGAAAATATCGTTCCATCTATACAAATTGTATGGATGGAACGATATTTTCAGAAGTTGCGTAGCTTAGTGTTACACTTTTGATGCGAAGGAAAATACCTCAATCACATCAGACAACAGATGACACTTGTTGAAGAGTCATGTCTCGTCTTTTAAACAATGTACAATAGACCTTTTTCGTTATTGATTATATCTATTACTCATGCGCAAATTCTACTTCCGCTTAAAATCATCATAATTTATTGTTGTTGTTTTCTACCCTGATTTCTAATTACAAATCCGCAAATAAATCTCATTTGTTTTTGCGTTTGATTGTATTGGATCCAGTAACACCTTTTGATGTGTTATTTCCGGAAGGCAAAATAACAAATATTTCGTTCATTATTACCTTGTAGAACATAGAAATAGTTTGCTGGTATGGAGGTAGAAGGTAGGGAGACGCTGTCACTTGGTCCAAGACGGGTTTACTCCCGCCATTTTGCGTTGACTAATCCTTCAAACAGTTAATCATGGTTTCAATCAACGGTTTTTCTAGTTTTATGTCGTTTGTAAACTAAGTATATTATACATATTAAAAGTTAAATATTGGTTGCTTGTGCTCAACGTATTTTTAGCAACCTAATAGATATTTATATGAAGAAATTATCTGAAATAACATTCCGCAACTAAATAGACAACATACGAGGAAGGGATGAAAAGTTTCCGGCCTAACATAGAACGCAACACAATAGTGTAGGGTAATACATTTGACCAAACGATGTTTAAGCGATTTAATACTGTCACTGTAGTCTGATTTATCCAACTCGTCAAAATAGGCGTTTGTGGCTGCAATTACTTCTAAATCCGTGGAAATTTTTTTTTTGCCAGCAAGAAATTTTTGTAGGTTTGTAAACAAATAAAAGTCTGACGGGGCTAGGTCTGGCGAATACGGAGGATGGTTTAACAGTTCAAAGCCTAGCTGATTAGTTTTAGCCATTGCAAGAACCAGGGCGTTTTTCGCTTATATTCTGCTTATGCTGGTCCAGTAAGTCACTGTAGAACTCGGAATTTATTGTTTAGTTTCACAAGTATATTGATAAACCCATGTTTCATCAACCGTAATAAATCTACGCAAAAAGTCCCCTGAATCACGTCTAAACAGTGCCAAACGCGGCACCCATAGGGCGGATAGCTTTCTCATACCTAAAACTTCACACAAAATATAGTGAACTCGCTCTTTTGATATGCCCACAGCCTCAGCTACCTCTTCCAATTTTAATCTGCGATCTTTTAGAATTAGTTTGTGAACGGTTTGCACCATTTCTTCAGAAGTTGCCGTTTTTGGCCTGCCAGAACGCGGAGCATCATCAGTGCTAGTACGACCACGTTTAAAGTCTGCTACCCAGTTTTTAACTGTGGTAAATGAAGGAGCAGATTCTCCTAGTGTACCATCCTAGCTCAACTTTTATTTCCGTCGGCGATAATCCTTTGATATGGATATATTTTATCACCGCTCTTATCTCGTTTTTTTTTTCATCTTTTAAAAGTGGCGCACTTTATAAGCTTTTTAAATACCCAGGACACAAACTACTTGACGCACTCACTTTAAACTTCGAACGTATACTGACGACAGACAAGGCTACACAGACACGTTGGAACAAGAACGCAAATCGGGCTTACTATAGGTTAGGCCGGAAACTTTTCATCCCATCCTCGTAGTAAACAATGTGCAGAGCCGTATTTGAGATATTAATTGTGCTTTGAGTGAGACTGTTCTAATCATATTAAGGTTTTGTAAAGATGAATTAAAATGAAGGAATTTTGATTTAAAATAATTATTAATATTCTCTGTTATCTTAAATTCTAGAAATGTAAAGTTATAGAAACTTTTTTAAATGACATGGATAAGTATATTAGTGCCTTAAAAACACATAATGTACAACACTGACTCACATTTACAGTTTTTACCAATATGCCAAATATCTCAAGATCATTGTATTCGCTTACATGGAGGCCACAACAATAACTCCGCCGGTCAGCAATTTCTGGGAGGCTATTTTAAAACTCGAGAGAAAGTGATTTCTCTCAAGATTTTCATAAGAAATGTCGTACGTCATCGTAAAAACAGTATTTTTAAAGCCAGTGAAAACTCGCAGACTGTTCCTTTTGGTTTATTTCGAGATGATTAAAATTCTCCCAAGAATTTGAATTCTCATTGGCTTTAGAAATACTGTTTTTACGTTGACACATGAAAATCTTGAGAGAAATGAAAATAAGTCCGTAACTACAGGGGTGGGTGGCTCAGTGGTAGAGTCTCTGCCTGTGGATCCAAGGGTCCCAGGTTCGAATCCCACCGTTGGCCGGGATTTTTTTTTATTTAATTTAATTATTTGAAATTAATTCTGATGCCTTGGAAGGATTCCCCACTCGACCATTCACTGTTGGGTTCTTATTAACAGTGCTGTTCCTAAAGTGGCGCTGGGAAACAGTAACAAAGCCTACACAGAACACGAGGATAATGACCTTAGCAGTCGATGCCGATGACACCAAAAAAAAAAGTCCGTATCTTACAAAAATTATTAGTATGTAGCCTATAGTATATCCCACTATGCTCTTTGGATGTTAGACTTTTGTCTTTAATGTGAACAAATAATAAAAAGGAGCTATTACTTTAAATTATCAACCTTATTTTAGTAAAATGTGAAGTGTGTTCAGTGCTACAAGTAATTTATAAATTAAAATATATTTGCAAATTGTACAGTTTTAAGGTAGTTCACTCGTAAAACAGCTTTTTTTTAAGAATTCAATAAAATTTAAATATAAGGTTTATGAAAGTGTCGTTTACGTAACTAAAAAAAATTAGATTTTTTGACCATCTGTGAAACGAGATATTAACAATAAAAATGTGCATAATTAACACTGTTAAAGCCTATCATGTACACAAGCAATGCATTTATTTCAAGATATCTCGAAAACGGTTCTTACCATATCTTTTAAAAACTTATGTTAAATAAATCAAGAAGTTATAAAATTTTATAAGTAATCGCTGAATTTTTTGACCTTCTTAGTAAAAAGATATAGATTTTTAAAATAAAAATATTTTTAAAGCAGTTGACGAGTAGTTTCGTAAAATTATTACAACTTGGCAACATTGTAGCCACTTCACGTAACAAAGTAACACTCGATCAGCTAAGAGGTTGTTATAAACTCGCGACGTATTCTTGAAAAATTAATTCGTCCACTGTGTTTGAGAACTGGAATCAGCGGTTCTGTTTGAACCAAAACAAACCCTTAATATTAGTATGAGGAAGTCACAATTTTCTATACCATATCGTTTGAATATTTGCAAGATTGCCGGATGAATTTGATTAAAATATAACATGTCCATATGTGTTTTTATATACATGTGTTTTGTACAGTCTCTTACAAAAATAAAATTGATTAGCATTGAGAATCTCGAACTTTTGGTATTCACCATTACGCGATATTTTTATGTACGACTGTCGCGAGTGAACTACCTTAATTAGCATCTCTTGTATAACCTAAGAAATATACACACATTTGGATGTTTTACTTCATTAAAAATAAAATAAAAAAATCTGATAGCATAAAACATAACAATAAAATTTTATAAACATAATTTTTATATTATTTATATTATTTGTTATTTTGCCATAATAAATTTTCAATTAATACCTACCAACTCTTTGATTCTTCTATGTTATATCAGTTTCGGTCTTAAATAACAGTTATGTTAAACCATGATATAGTAAATAAAATTTCTAGACTTTATGATTGTATCAAATACTATCTTCCACTTGCACATTTTTTATTTCCTGAAACTTATTTTATCAATAAGTGGAATTTTCGGTGAAATTACTAAACATTAGTTTTTATGACCTTATTCATCCATTTTATAACAATTAATAAATATTGCTTACATTTTCTAAAAAAGAAAAAAAAAATACCGTTTTGAATGTTGGAAAAAGATACTTATAGCGTCTCCCTACCTTATAACTCTGTTTGCTGTACAGCGATGGAGCTCTCGACGATGACGTTTAAAAAAAGGCTGTGTAGAAAATGGTGTCATAGAAGCTCAAACTTAAAACTTTCAGATATTATTTATATCAAAAGTTAGTAAATAAAAGTTTGCTGGCACCTTCTTCAAATTCGGCTTACAGTACATTCTTGCTGACGGGGCACTTCAACGCTAAATCGATTGCAGCAAAATATATCCATCTTCTAGAGGGTAAGAATTAACCACATATTTATAATTTAGCCTTATGCTAATGTGTACCAAAAATGTTCCACTGGCTCCCTACTATATAGAATTGATGACAGTTGTTTAAAATAAAAATTGTAACGTTATGTTAAACGTTGCTTTTCCACAACTCAAAATTTTATAAAACATTCAACAATATTTCTGTACCAACCTAGTATAAAACATTCAACAAAACTTTCTGGACTACCCCGGTATAATCAGGTCGCTGCTACGGTATTTAATCAATAATTTTGGTCTCGCGCCATCTTGCGAGGCATTGGTGTATTCTTTCCTATTCGAAATTGTGTATCGAGTATCACTCATATGATTAAGGTTGGTATAATCATTTAATATTTTAAATTGCCTGATAAGTGATTTTGTAGGTTTAACATCTCGCTTTGTGGATTATTACATGAGTTTAACTAATTGTCTTTAGTTTTGTTAACACTTAAATGATTTTTCGTTTTTATAGCCACGTTGTTGTTTTTTATATCTATGTATTCGATCTTTCCATGTGTTAAGAATGTAACTGAAATACTATTGCGAATCTACTTATTTTGAGTTTCTGGTGCCTTCTTTTTACGAAACACGTGTTAAGA